TTTATTAACACTTTAACTGGATTATTCTGACAGAACGAGCTCACAGATGAGTAAAGCGCTGCAGTGTTTGGGAGTATGTGGCGTCTACAGCTGCTGATAACGGTGAAGGTAAAGTTGGGAGGCAAACCCATCGAAGCTCACCTCCGTTTATCTCACAGGCGTGCCGCGCCCTTCGGCAGTATCTATGGGCGTCTCCGGCCACCAGCTTGCTTTCAGTTAAACAGAACCAGCTCGTCTAACGTCGTTTCACACCAAACGCCGAGCAAAGCTTCGCCTCGTGTTGCTCGCACGTTTACAGTCGCCGGTCTGTTTGTGGACACAAATGTTCACCTGTGACGACCAGCGAAAGAACAACCGTTTGTCCACAAACAGGGAGACGTTTTCACCTGGCCGCGGCGAGCTGGCACCGACACCTGCTCAGACTGAACGCCGCAGGAGGAGCACCCCGCGACCCCGACCCTGGACCTCGCTCTGACTGACGATAGCCTTAGTTTGATGCTCTCAGCAGTGCCGCGCTTTTTTGGGGAGTTATTGCAGAAATGCATCTTGGGAGTTGTGGCCAATCATGTTCCTGTTAGTTTTACAGATGGGTCACTGTCAGAAGGCGTGCTCATTAGTGCCGGTGTGTGAACTCATGTCGATGATGATGATGATGAAGAGTCTGAGAGCGTGCAGCTCGCTCAGCCCTGAGGACGGAGGCGCGTCCTCGCAGACACAAACTCAGGTGTGTTAAACATTTACCAAACCTAAAGGTCCTCATTCTGAGCCAATCAGAGCTCACGGTCTGAGGCATCAGCCAATAAAAGCATAAAACCGACCTCAGAGCTCAAACACACAAACTGACCTGAGATAAGAAACAAACAAGTACAAACAAACGATTATTGTTGTTTAGTAAATAATAAAAACAAATCTTTACTTTTACCACTATTACTGTGTGTGTGTGTGTGCATGTGTGCGTGTGTGCATGCGTGTGTGTGTGTGCATGTGTGCGTGTGTGCATGCGTGTGTGTGCATGTGTGTGTGTGTGCATGCGTGTGTGTGTGTGCATGTGTGTGCATGTGTGTGTGTGTGTGTGTGTGTGTGTGTGTGTGTGTGTGCATGTGTGTGTGTGTGTGCATGTGTGTGTGTTACCTGCAGCTCACACCAGGCCACCTCCACCGTGGTCTCGGTGTCGAGTCCTTTGTAAACCGCCTTAAAGGATCCTCGTCCGATCTCGATGTCGAACTTGAGGAATCGTCCATCGGGCGATGAAGCTACCGCCTGTGTCTCTGCTTCGTCGCGCTCTTCCTCCTTCTGTTGCCATGGTAACACCTCCCTGTTTGACAGCACTGCGGCCGCCTCCTCCCCAGAGTCCGAGCTGCCGTCCTGAGGCTTAACCGCAGCATCTGATTGGCTGGCGGGGTCGTCCTTCGATGTGGTCATGTCCGACTCCTCTTCATTCTCTTGTTGTTTTTCTTCTTCAGGTCTTTTTTTGCTGTCGCTGTCAGGGGTCCAAGGCAGCATCCTCCACCTGTGTCAGCTGACTGGTGGTGATGTCTGAGTAGGAGGAGCTGTGGGAGGGTCGATGGAGACACGAGATGTTAAACATCACCATGACGACACACCAACATACAACAACTGCATAACCTGAGCGTCACACAACATACGACCTGATGAATCGGTGCAGCATCGACTCATTTAAACTTGTTGATCCGATCAGTATCAGAGGGCGTTAATGAAAAGAATAACAGGTGCAGGGGCAGCAACGACACACCCCCTGAAACAGGAAACAGGTGGAGGTCGCTGACACTTCCCCTCCTCATCTGACTGCTTTTCACCAGATGTGCATCTGGCTGGGGTCAGTGTGAGGCCATACCTGCAGCCTATAAAGGGCGTCCGTCACTTCCACTTAACCCACCAGCAGGACCAGTATCTGCTCCTCTGTGTAAGGATGAGCTCTGCCGGAGCCACAACATGACCTCCAGCAAGAACACTCTGAGCACCGTCACAGACTCCATGAGGGTGGCCCGAGAGCCCGATGTGAGCCCTGTGCTCCTGCCCAGCACCGTGGAGCCTGACGGGCATGTGCCACAGAGTACCAGAGCTGCCCTGTGCTTCTCACAGATGTGTGAGCAGCTTCAGCCTGAGCACACGTGACAGACGTGAAGGGTCAGGAGAAGCTGAGGAGAACGCTACGCTGCCTGTAACATCGTTCAGAGACTTGATGGCAGATCAGTGATGGTCGGGGGAGGCGTATCCACGGAGGGACACCAGTGTAGCGGGTCCCGCGTTCCTCTGGTGGAAGACGTGTGGAGGACGAAGGACGTGACGGGCCCACACGCTCGTCTGACCTAAAGCTTGCAGAACATCCGGGACATGATGTCTGTACCTCAGACAGGAGCTCAGACCGGGTCCAGATCTGAGAGGAGGTCCTTTAGCACGCGCTCGCCCCGACGTTATCATCATGTACATAAAACACGAGGCCACACAAACTACTCACTTGGTTTTACTTTGGTCTGATTTTTTAAAGAAACTTCACTGAAGTTTTATATACATACATACATATATATATAGTATATATACATACATATATATGTATATATACATATATATATATGTATATATACATATGCATGTATATATACTATATATATATGTATGTATGTATATATATATACTATATATACATACATACATATATAGTATTTATATACATACATATACTATATATATGTATGTATATAAAAAATGTTACTGATTTTGTTTTCTGCGTAAATCAAGTAAATAAAGTTTATTCGTATTTCGTTTTGATATTCTACTTTTTAAAGCACCTGTTTTAAAATGTTTGAAGCACAAAGGAAGTTGTTTACTTCATAAACTATAATACAGTGTGTGTGTGTGTGTGTGTGTGGTACTCACGCTGTGTGTGCAGCAGCGGTCACTTCATCAGTCTGACGCCGCAGAAGCAGAAACAGAACAGCAGGTGTTTCAGAGCCGGACTCTGGAAACAGCTTCAGCTTCTCGGAGCACATACGTCATTTCTGCGCAGGCTGCACGCGCTGCAGAAAGAGAGTGTGAGCACGAGCTCTATCAGCACAGCACAGGCGGCACGATGTGCATGAAGCCCCGCCCACCGGACACCTGTCACCTGCCTGATAGAAACAGGAAGCGAACCAGCCCCCGGGCACTGTGTGAGTACTGACATAAGTACTGCATGTGCTACCAACACGGAGTGCCTGCAGTACTCGGAGCCATGGCTCAGTATTATTGAATAACACACGTTGGATCGGTATTTAATTAGTCCGCGTGCTCGTGAAGGATGATTTTAGTGCCGTCAGTCGCTCGGTGAAGTCGCGATGAACACACTCGCTCTGCTCAGTGAAAAGTTGCTGGTTTGATTCCAGCCAGAGAGTCTGGGTCTCGGCAGGAAGGCCAGTGCAGAGCGCCCCCTCGTGGTCGTGTTTATGTCGCTGAAGGTTTTCACTCTGATGATTTTATAGTTGAGATCTAATAAAGAAAACTGAAGGTAAAATGATTTTAACGGTAAAATAAGGGACAGAAACGTGATGACGCTGTTAGTATAAGAGCAAAGTGAAACTAGTGATAGTGTTAGGCAATCGATTGTGTTATTGATTTATTTGCATTTGTTTATTGAGTTTCTCACGGGTGTTTTTATAAAACCACACTGACGTCATTTATTCATTTCTTTAATTATGTTTTTTTTCTAACAGATTTTTTTTCTTACAGTTTTTCCCTCCGTGGGGTCACGTGACGTTGTTTCTGGTGGGCGGCAGTTTTCCTGTCGTTTATTTATTTGACTGTATTTATTATTTCGTTTGTGGGCGGAGCTTCGTCTTCAGTCGCTGCCCTGTCAGAGCTGTTCGTCTGTGTCTGGAGCAGCAGCATGTGAGTACAGCCCTGCTGTTGTTTGTTTGTTTGTTTGTTTGTTTGTTTGTTTGTTTGTTTGTTTGTGCAGTCAGAGATCGGTTTCTGGCTTTTTAGGATGCGTCTCCATGGTAACAGTCTTGCTTCAAACCAAAAAGCTCTGAAACATTTGGGATGTGAGCAGCACTGACAGCTGCACAGCTTAGTGGAGATACAAGGTTAGCATGGAGGTAAATATCATGACAGCACTGAGAGTGGGTCCACAGAGGTGGTGATGGAGCTGAAACAGGGTTTAGAATAATATTAAAATAATACTGTATAATAATAACACCAACAATAATAATAATATAATAATATTGTTGCTAATTTTACATTTGTGGGTGAAGACTTTGTTCTGAGCAGATCAAACATGAAACAAAGGCGCGTGCGTCCTGTCAGCGTGCGACAGCCCCGTTTCCTGTCCGTGCGGTCAGACCAGAGCGCTCTGATCTCTGATGTTTGTTTGGTGATGTCACAGAGGACCAGTCCTCTGGACGTGTCTGTGCTTCGGCCTGTTGTCTGAACTAAAACGTTTGACCTCAAATAAAACAGGAGTAAACGTCTGACACAGGGAAGGCGAGCACGCCGCCGGCCTCCATCACTGACCTACAGTCAGCTTTAGTCTGTGATCCCATGCCAACATCAAACTGAAGTCTGGGCCGGGATGTGATCAGGATGCAGTGCGGCTGGGTCAGGGTCACACCTGAGTCAGGACCCTGTCAGGGAGGGGCTTGAACGGTTTCCATGGCCACACATTATATCAGCGTTACAGGAGCGTGACGCTTTATGTTCAAATAATGATGATAAATATTGATGAATACAAAAACACATTTGTGGTCTGTCATGTGACTGCTGTGAAGCGTTGCTCACGACCTCAGCACAGGTGATGATGATGATGATGATGATGAACTCACTGCAGCTGTTACAGTACACTGAGTGTGAGGCTTCTGAGTGGGTGGAGGAGCTCAAGTGTTGGGCTGTGTTCACAGTGAGCGTGGATGGATGTAGTCCTGCGGTCAGCTGGAGGTCACTTCACTGTAATCCTGTCAGTTTCTTATCAACAACAGTTCACTACTGAAAGAGCACAACAGGCTTTTATTGTGAAAGGCAAGGACAGGAAGAGTCCTTTTGAATAGAAAACACTGAGGAAGAGGAGTCACATGACAGGATGACAGAATTCCTCCTTTTACATGAGTGCTGAGACAACAGGAAGTTTGAATCTCAGTCAGATTTTTTACCCGGATCAATAAAACATGAACAATGTCACTGATTATTATTGATCTGAGGCTTTATTGATCCAGCTAACAGTAAGAACTCGAATTTGTAGCTGTGAACAAAGGCTACGTTTACCACAGTGATGAAAAGTTTCAAAGTAAAAGCCTCGTCGGTGTAGCGGAGCCCAGAGGAACAGACCAGCAGCTTTAAAGGGTTCGAAGGTTAACTTCTTTTTTCTTCTCTCTTCTTTCTTAATCCCTGTGGGAGGATTTAATCTGATAATCTGCTCATTTCCTCGTTGGCTTCATGAATCCGTCTCCTTTATCTTCTTCTCATCCCTTTGTTCTCCTCCTCCTCACTCTGTGTAATCCCCGCCTTAATCTTTTGTTTTCCTGCTGTTTTGTTACAACATTGTTTTATTCCAGAAACTTCCTCTCCCGGCGCCTGATATCAGTAACGAGTGTTAACAACAAGTTAATAATGATTATTGATCAGCTGACCGTGATGGTGTGTTTCTGACGTCTGAGTCTTTATTCCAACAAACATCAGTGTGAGGACTGGAGTCTGCAGGGGGCACCGCTGAACTTTGAACTGTTTTTCTGCAGACAGGCTCCACCCCCGGCTCCCTGCTGCTTACACCGAGTCAAAATGGCCGCCAGCAGCTGAACATGTGACAGGAAGTTAAAGTAACAAGTCGACTCTGTGATCATCATGTCCCACGCCAAGCACCTGCTGCCGATGCCTTCCACTGTGGTGGATGTTTCACTGCAGAGGATGCCCCGCCTCCTTTTTCTTCTTCTTCTGGTGTTGACGTCACTCAGCCTGGTGTCGGCCACATCACCGCTCACTGTGGCATTGTGGCGTCGTGGCAACCGAGTCTCCACTATCAGCGCCTGCCACCGACTGGAGACGGCAGACGGAGGACTGACGGTCCGCTGCAGTGGACTCAGACTGACCCAGGTGTGTGTGTGTCTGTGTGCGTGCGTGTGCGTGTGTGGCTGCTTTTCCTAGCTTCAGGTGGACTTTAGCCTCTGAATGACCTGTGAAAACCTCCAACCCGAGAATGAAACTACCCCTGACTTTAAGTTCTCAGGCAGGATGAGGATGTTCTTTAAGCTTTAGCAGACGGCATCCGTGCGCTCACAGTATCCAGGTGTGTTTGTGCGCTCAGGTACCCATCGGCCTGCCGAACCGCACCACTCGTCTGTTTCTGAATAAAAACCTGCTGACCTCTCTGGCGGCCGACATGTTCTCCAGTCTGTTCCTGCTCGATGAGCTCGACCTGTCACATAACCAGGTAGTGAACAGCTCTTCATACCAGTTTAGAGTATGCACCAGTTTAATACCAGTAAGACACAGCAGGATCATACTGTTTCGCCCTCCTCAGCTCTCCTCACTTGAAGACGGTTGTTTCCGTGGGTTGGACTCGCTTACTTTCTTGGACCTGTCGTACAACCGCCTGTCCACGCTGGAGCTGCCGGTGCTCGGCGGTCTGCAGATTGAGGCCAACCTCACACATAACCCCTGGCACTGTGACTGCAGGATGGAGGTGTGCACAGATGCAATGATGTGTGTTTGTAGTTCACACAAAGTCATTACAACTTTCTGTTTGTGTTTAGATGTCCATGCCTCAGTTGGATCTGGACCCGACCTCACTAGCAGAAGTTGTCTGTGCAACCTCTGATCTCCCAAACCTCGGTAAGCTTTCTCTCAGCAGATGTGCTGAACAAAGAACACACAACACATCATTTTTCCTTCTTTTGTACCATTTTGTTCTTTACTTTCGGCTACACACTGATTTATGGTCTGACACTGTGTGATGTGGTGTTACAGGAGCTGTCGGGATACCACTGGTTGTGCTGATGGAGGACTGGGATCTGTGTTTGTCTGTGAGGAGAACCACTGATGTGGTGACACTCGTCACCATGTTCCTCTGGCTCTTCATGCTCATCTGCTACCTGGCCTACTACATCCGCCAGAACCAGGCGGTCACACGCCGAAACCTGGAGTACCTGAAGTTACTGGAGAGCAAAAATCCTTATAAACCCAAAAAGACAACTTCATGATGACCTTTTGGAATTCCTGAATGCCTGTCTAGAGTTACCCACAGCTGTGTTTTCCCTCAAAGACATCCGTAATGACTTCCAGAGCAATTTCTTTGCCCACAGTCAAAGGAGCTTGCAAAGAAAAGCATCTGGACTTCTTTAAGTTGCTTGAAGACGTTTCACCTCTCATCCGAGAAGCTTCTTCAGTTCTAAGGTCAAATGGTGGAGAGTCCCAGATATAAACCTAGTGGGAGTTTCCCCCCACAGAGGGACAAAAGGACCCCCTGATGATCCTCTAATCGCCTGAGCCAATCAGGGTGTGGGCCCCAATCAGGAGCGCATGGCACAACACAGAAGAGCCACCTCCACAGGACAAGACTCAGCAGTCCATCTGCATCTAAAGGTCAAAGGTCACTCTTTCGAGGATGCCAATGTTCACATTTTGGACAGAGAGGACAGATGGTTTGAAAGAGGAGTGAAAGAAGCATCTATGTCCACTGTGAGCGACCATCTTTGAACAGAGGCGGGGCTTACGACACCAACTCTCTGCCATCTATAATCCAGTTTTGAGATCCTTCCCAGACGCCTTAACGCCCACTCACATCCTGGGCCATCTGACCTCAGGAATTCGCATGATAAGGTGGGGCCAGGTTTCACAATGAACACACCCGAAACTCTGGCTGATTGGGACCCACGCCCAGTTTCCCACCTTGGCTCAGGCGATTAGAGGATCATCAGGGGGTCCTTTTGTCCCTCTGTGGGGGGTCACTCCCACAGGTTTATATCTGGGACTCTCCACCATTTGACCTTAGAACTGAAGAAGCTTCTCGGATGAGAGGTGAAACGTCTTCAAGCAACTTAAAGAAGTCCAGACGCTTTTCTCTGCAAGCTCCTTTGACTAAGATGACCTGGATGACTGAGAACCTTCACAGACATTCTTTGCCCACAGGTGCCCACGGGACTCCAGGTACCTTCTGATCAGTTGCTCCCCTCCAAAAGTTACAAAAGCACATAAAGGACTCCCTAATGATGCAATGCAATACCTCACTGACACTCAGCATCTCTAAGGAACCACAAAGCTTCTCTAGAATGTGATCATGTACTTCTAGGTCTTCCTCTGAGAACCCTGTAACCTTCTGAAGCACGTCTTCAGAGTGTCCTGTGAAAGATTTCTACAACATATTCAAGTCCTCCTAGAACCTTCTCAGTCTCTTCACAAGCCCATAAGCCCTTCACAAGGACTCTCAAACTTTCCTGTGACTTCCTTATAGAGACTGTTTGTTCTCCTAGGTCAATGTGATCTGAGTTTCTCAGAGATGTCTGATACTAGTTTTCCACCGACATGGTCCCGGTGGTGGTGCAGATCCAGTTTGGTCTTGGTACCTTATCAGAACCAGCCTGGATGACGTCCTTCCTCTAAGTATCGGCTCTGGGGAAAACAACATCAGAAGGACCCCAGCCTGAAGCAAAAAAAACACCGAAACTTTGCGTCTTTACCAACTGTTAGTTTCCACGACACGCTTACCATGTTTTGAAGGAAGGAAGGTTCAGGGCTTAAGCAATCAGCATCATGGGCTCATCCGGTTAGAAGAAGAATAAGCAGCCATCTAATTCAGAATTATTCTCAGGGTTCTCCTTTTATTCTCGAATAAATAAGGCAAAGAAGGAAGGAAACAAAGACACTCATGGACTGCCACAGCTGAAAGAAAACAGGAAAACAGAGATTTAAGTTACTCATTCCCTTAAACAATACATAAAATAAAACCCAAATAGAACCTCACCTCAGCTGCCGCCCCGTGTGGAAGTGAAGAAAGAGTGAGCCAAAAGTGAATGCAGTCCTTATATAATGTGTGACAGGTGAGTGCAATCGAGGACAAGCACCACACCCAATCAAAGGTGAGAGAACTAAACAAGGTGCATCTGGTGAAGTGAGTGGTACCAGTTCAGACTTTTTGCAGGAGAAACACGTGAAACTGGTTCTAGACAGGATGCTAGCCGTGCTTAGAAAACACGAAGAGCTGCAGTAGGACCTGGTTACCAACAATAAACAAAAGCCCTCAAAGTTCGTTCTGCAGTTTTCCTTTCTTCTGAACTTCACCAACCACAGCATGGCTGTGCAGCAGAACGTGTAGGTACACAAAGACTACACATGCTCACATTTCACTGTGAGCGGCCCCTTCACCTGAGAGGTGATGCTGCTGTATGGGCAGATGGTGATTTTGATTTTGGGCTGACCTCTCTGTGAGGAAGCCGCAGGGATGCGTGAGAATGTAAAACTGGTCACTGAGAGGTTACTGAGGAAGTTCTAGGATCCCCTGAAGCTCTTCCTCAGGTGGCTTCCACAGTCAGGACCGCCCTGAGTGGTTTTTACACCAGCAGGGGAAATATTTTTCTTTTTAATAAATGAATCATGACGAGGGAACTGTTGTTGCTCTCCACTTGAAGGCTTTGTGCCTTTGCAGCGTGACGTCAGCAGAGACAGATATAAAATCACAGGACGGTCGTTTGGCTGTGAAGCTCTTCAGGAAGTACTCTGACCTTCCTGACACCACCATGAGACTTTCTTAATATAATGCCATAACGTCATTGGTCATCATCCTATGGTTTCACCCACACAAAGACATATTGGGCCTCGAAGTTCTAGAGAAGCATTTTGGCAGTGTTGGGGAGTAACTGAGTACATGCACCGCCGTTATGTATTTAAAATACAAAGTATGAGTAACTGTATTCCGTTACAGTTACCAATTAAAAGATGATATTCAGAATACAGTTACTTTGTTGAAGTAAATGGATTACATGGCGGTCTTTTCCTGTTTCATATGTTCGGCTATGTCCTCTCTATTTTTGGTAATTCCACGCCGGTGGAAACCCGAACAAACACGCATTAAGAGGCTCTAATGTCTCAGTCTCACGGCCCACGTCACCCCTACCTGCAGCAGCATAATGATTGGAAGAAATATTTTTTAAAAATTATTCACAAAAATTGTTTAATATGAAGGCAACAGGCAGAGTGTTACAGGCATCGCCCTAAAGCATGCAGCCTGATGGGCAGTGTAGTCTGTGCTGCAGGGAGAATGGACTGCCATACCCGTGATGTCTCTGTGAGCGCGAGGAGGGAGAAAAAGGAAAGGTACGAGCTGTCACGGAGCAGAAACGGGAGCTGGAAGCATGTAAATATAATAATAACCACTGCAGCCAAACAGAGAGCCTGACGAGCCCAGCTGTAAGTAAGCTATTAAGACTCGACTGTACACTGTGTTCGTGTTTTCCTCTGAAACAATAAGCTCTGTTGGAGCAGCCTTTCAAATCCTCTCTCTGTCTCTGCTAGCAAAGTCGACCTAGACAACAAAGTAAAGCTAGTTTTCAGCTACGAGCCGACACGAACCCGACGTATTAGCCAGAGGTCCCTTTACTACGGTTCAGAGCGGCGGACCTGTTTTATATACGCGTGGAATAGTTTTCTATACGAGATCGCTGCAAAAAGTGCAGCTTTACCTAATGTCCACCTACTGTTACTCATTTATATTAAGATTTAAACATCTAGTTGGTGTGACGAGTAACCTTCAGTAACAGTAATAAATCACACAGCAATAGTACATTCATGTAGTTGTAAAAAGCATGATAATATATTAAGTAATCCAAAGTATTCAGAATACGTTACAAAATACTTGTAATCTGTAGTGGAATACATTTTAAAAGTAACCTTCCCAACACTGCATTTTGGTTTCTTGAAGATGTTTGAGGCGGTACGTGTGATTCAGAGAACTGTTCCCTGGCTCTCCATCAGCCCTGTTTGTTTGAACTGTGTCCTCTGTGTTCAGTGAGCTCAGCCGTCATTCTGACTCCACGCGTGAAATAAACCGTTTGTTCTGCTGAGTTCATGTCTTTACTCTTATTCTGACTTCATTATTCTGACTCTAAAGTTACAGAGACACCATCGTTATGTTCGCCACTTCATATTCAAATAACATCAGAAATCACAGTGTGTTCGGCACAGTCTATGGATCCCTGCAGGGTCAGACTTTCATATGTCAGAAATCCGCGGATCAATGCAACGCACTAAAACACATCTCTCACACACACACACACACACACACACACACACACACACACACACACACACAAACCCGTTCAGCTATCTTAGTGAGGACCTTCATTGACATAATGCCTTCCCTAGCCCCTTAGCCTAATCCTAACCATTAAAAATGAATGCCTAACCCTGACCCTAAACCTAACCATAACCTAATTGTAACCCTGACACTAAAACCACATTTTGAGCCTCAAAAAGGTCTTCAAACTTGTGAGGACCAGTGAGTGAGCCTTCAAGAGCCTTCAAGAGAGTGAACACCAGGAAAGCAGCAGGACCAGACGGCATCCCAGGTCGTATCCTCAGAGACTGCGCATACCAGCTAGCTCCTGTGTTCACTGAGATATTCAACATCTCTTTATCTCAGTCGGTGATCCCCACATGCTTCAAAGAGTCCATCATTGTTCCTGTCCCAAAGAAACCCCACCCTGCTTCTCTCAATGACTATCGCCCTGTAGCCCTCACCTCAGTAGTGATGAAGTGCTTTGAACGCCTGGTCAGAGACTTCATCATTTCTTCACTACCAGACACACTGGACCCACTACAGTTCGCTTACCGTCCAAATCGTTCCACAGACGATGCCATCTCTCATCTCCTCCACACATCACTCACTCACTTGGACACTAGAAGGGGGAATTATGTTAAAATGCTCTTCATAGACTACAGCTCTGCATTTAACACCATAATTCCCTCCACACTCACCACCAAGCTGGAGCATCTGGGACTCAGCTCATCTATGTGTCAGTGGATCTCCAACTTCCTAACTGGCAGACCACAGGCAGTAAGGATGGGCGGACATGTCTCAGCCTCCACCACTCTCAGCACTGGAGCCCCCCAGGGGTGTGTTCTGAGCCCCCTGCTGTACTCTTTGTACACATATGACTGTGTGGCCACTACCAGCTCCACCACCATCATCAAGTTTGCTGACGACACCGTCGTGGTGGGCCTGATCTCTGATAACAACGAGACGGCCTACCTGAAGGAGATTAGGAATCTGGAGAACTGGTGCCAGAGGAACAACCTCCTTCTAAACGTCAGTAAGACAAAGGAGCTGATAGTGGACTTCAGCACTAAGCAGGAGAGGAACTACCAGACCCCCGTCATCAACGAGTGCCCAGTGGAGAGAGTGGACAGCTTCAAATACCTCGGAGTTCACATCACGCAGGACCTGTCATGGTCCTGTCACATCAACACCGTGGTGAAAAAGGCCCGACAGCGTCTCTACCACCTCAGACGCTTGAGAGACTTCCAACTGCCCTCCAAGGTGCTCAGGAACTTTTACTCGTGCACCATAGAAAGCATCCTGACGGGAAACATCTTAACCTGGTTCGGGAACAGCACCATGCAGGACAGACGAGCTCTACAGAGGGTTGTGCGGTCAGCTGAGCGCACCATCCGCTCCGAGCTCCCTGACCTGCACTCAATCTACAGCAGGCGGTGCTGGACCAAGGCCAGGAAGATCGTGAAGGACCTCAGCCATCCCAACAACAGACTGTTCTCTCTGTTGAGGTCAGGAAAGCGATTCCGCTCCCTGAAGACCAACACAGAGAGACTGAGGAGGAGCTTCTTCCCGCAGGCGATACGGTCTCTCAATCACACCACCACACAGTACTGACCCACACATACAGTTCTTACACACACACTGGACTTTCTGGACTTTGGTTTTGCACAACACTGGTCACTATATTCTTCATTTCCGGTTAATACTTGTACAGCTGCTGTTATTGTGTATATATTTATTTATATTTAGATTTCTTCATACATTCTTATATAGTTCTATATTGTGTATTTTGTTGTACAGTTATTTTATTTTCAACTTTAATTTATATATTTATCTTTATCTTATTCTTCCCAGTTAAATTTACCCTTCATTCTAATTTGTGTTGTACAGTTATTTCATTTTTAACCTTAATTTATATTTTATTCCTTCATAGTTAAATTTACCCTTTTTAATTTTTCATATTTATTTCCTATCTTATTCATAGCCTTTTCCTTTTTTGTTCTCTTTAGGTCACGAGCAGTTGTCCAAGCATTTCACTACATATCGTACTGTGTATGACTGTGTACGTGACAAATAAAATTTGAATTTGAATTTGAATTTGAAGGTGCTCAGGAACTTTTACTCGTGCACCATAGAGAGCATCCTGGCGGGAAACATCTTAACCTGGTTCGGGAACAGCACCATGCAGGACAGACGAGCTCTACAGAGGGTTGTGCGGTCAGCTGAGCGCACCATCCGCTCCGAGCTCCCTGACCTGCACTCAATCTACAGCAGGCGGTGCTGGACCAAGGCCAGGAAGATGGTGAAGGACCTCAGCCATCCCAACAACAGACTGTTCTCTCTGCTGAGGTCAGGAAAGCGATTCCACTCCCTGAAGACCAACACAGAGAGACTGAGGAGGAGCTTCTTCCCGCAGGCGATACGGTCTCTCAATCACACCACCACACAGTACTGACCCACACATATGGTTCTTACACACACACTGGACTTTCTGGACTTTGGTTTTGCACAACACTGGTCACTATATTCTTCATTTCCGGTTAATACTTGTACAGCTGCTGTTATTGTGTATATATTTATTTATATTTCTTCATACATTCTTATATAGTTCTATATTGTGTATTTTGTTGTACAGTTATTTTATTTTCTACTTTAATTTATATATTTTATCTTATTCTTCCCAGTTAAATTTACCCTTCATTCTAATTTGTGTTGTACAGTTATTTCATTTTTAACCTTAATTTATATTTTATTCCTTCATAGTTAAATTTACCCTTTTTAATTTTTCATATTTATTTCCTATCTTATTCATAGCCTTTTCCTTTTTTGTTTTCTTTAGGTCACGAGCAGTTGTCCAAGCATTTCACTACATATCGTACTGTGTATGACTGTGTACGTGACAAATAAAATTTGAATTTGAATTTGAGTGTGTGACTCACAAGTGACAGATTTCGGTCCTCACAAAGATAGCTAGACAGGAACACACACACACACACACACACACACACACACACACACACACACACACACACACATCTGTGATCGATTATCGAGCCTGCGCTGCTGTTTCCGCTCTCTTCTGCTTCTGCCTGTCATATCCCAGAATCCTCTGCGCCACAGAATAGTGTCCAGTCATTGTGGTTCAGCTCGGTTCGGTTTCATCCACCCAGACACAGCATGAAGGAGACCGCGGCCAAACGACGCGACAAGGCGGGAGGCCGGGACCGGGACTCGAAGGCAGAGAAGCCAAAGGAGCCGAAGGAGGTGGGCCCAGAGCCGCAGGACGTGGAGATGCCTGAAGAGGAGGCGGCTAATGCGGCCAAACAGCCAAAGGAGCAGGACAGCCTGACCCTGGACGGTAAAACTCTTCAAACACCAATACCGATACCCCCCAGCACAGACCCGGGAACGGGGTCTGTGCTGGCCCGGTACCGAGAGTCACGGCAGCTCGGCGGTTAGCCTATTAGCATGAGGGGCTAACAGCCCCAGAGAGTCTGCGCGTCATTTAGCTTAAAACCGACACCAACCTCTCCCATTCGCGGGTCCGGACCGGGCCCCGTTCCCCTTCAGACCGGTGTCGTGCCAAACTAGGTATCCCCGACAGAATTTGTTTCCCCTGCGTCGGGAGCACACGCTGGACTGTCCAAATCACGGACAAACAGGGTCCCACATTGTTGATTTTTAGTTTACAAACACTTCTTGTAATGACTAACTACTCCTGACATTTTGGAGATGTTAGCTCTTTACACAACGAAGTTATAGTGGGACACAAATAATATCAGGCTGATCCTGCCACAATTTGTTCCCCCTGTGTAAATCACGGACAAACAGGGTCCCACATTGCTGATTTTTCGTTCACAAACACTTCTTATTATCACGCATTACTCCTGAAACTTTGGAGGATTTAGCTCTTTATAGAGTAAAGTTACAGGAGAATAAAAATAGTTATCAGCCAAAATGTTAATGGTTTATTAAAATAATCCCATCTGATATATAATTTTCTGTTGTAACCCCCAAACTGAATGCTAACGTAACGATGCTAATTTTTCCCTTTTTCACAAAATGAAAACATCAGTACTTCCTGCTCCCAGCACAGGGGAAACAAATTCTGTCGGGGATACCTACTTTGGCACGACACCGGCACCAGAACCCTCCCCCCCGAAAACAGATTTGATGGTCTCTGAGTGCAGAGAGGGAGAGAGAGCTGTGCAGGACGTAACAGCCAGAGAAATAGGACCTCTTCCGCCCGTACATTACACAGACACCACATCAGGGAGACCGGTCAGAACAGGTGGCATAAAGAAAGACAATGACATGTACGACACAATAAGGAGTGGAGGAGAGAAAAAGAGTTTATCAAACATGAAGCGTAGTTTGATCTTCTGCTGCTGGTTCAGTTAGGTTTGGTCAGAGTGATGAAACCTGCAGCTTTCAGCCCAACGGCGTCTGTGGACGATCCACGCTCTGTGTTTGCATGTCTGCTCCCGTTTACAGTTTTAGCTGTTTGGTGGTTGTTGAAATAGTTGTGTGAGCTTTAACCTGAGATTCTGGCGTTAAAATACATTTATATTGAAATCATTCAGGATTTAATGAATCTTTGAAACCCAGCCCTATGAAGGATAAACATAAACATCAGTTTGCCTGAGACTAGGGCTGGGCGATATGACCCTAAATTCATATCTCGATATTCTTTAGCTGGATGGCGATATACGATATATATCTCGATATTTTTAAAGCCGTTAAGTGAGAACAAAGAGAGAGTTCTTAGTCAAAGCTGTGTCCCAGATCTCACACAGGCACTTTTATTAACATACAGCGCTGATGTACAAGGAAAAATTACTCAGAAATAAATTATCAGCACTTATTAAATAATAATGCTCCATGAATAAAATAAAACAGTAGCTCGTTAACGCTGTCCAGCCCCGCACGGGGCGATCCGCGGTAACTTGTTAACAGAGATTTGCCCCGTTAATGCCGTTATGGCGTTAACGTCACGCTGACAGCACTAAAATAGTCTCCAAATGTTTTCTTTTTACCGAGCAGCTCCTCTTTGATAGCTGCCGTGTCCGTCCTGCCTGCAGGTGAAGCGATGGCGGAGGGGGAGTTGTGTTCAGTGAAGGAGAGGCGAGGCCGAGTAACGCAGCGTAGAGACAAAAGTGGACGAAAGCGAGGCAAACATGCGGCTCCACAAGTCTAGTTATAACGTAACATAGACTATATCGATATATTTAAAAACTCTGTGTATCACCCAGTCCTACCTGAGACTGATGTGAGCCTCGACTTTGTGCTCCGCCCTAACACATGAGGCATGAATGCAAGCCCAGGACGTCGTCTGTGTAGAACACCAGGACCTATCAGGGCGGCTCAGGTGTAACAGGAGACATGAATGGATCGTCCGGTTCTCAGGAGGATGTAACCGTCACCTTACGGCATGGATGTAGAGCCGCGTTGTCATGAGCACAGCTGTAAGCAGCTAAGCTCCTTCTCTGTAGCATCTGCATGGATGGAGGTCAAAGGTCGCATGAAAAGGCGTAAACATGAGGATCGCGCTGAGCCGAGGTCTGTGGGTCATGTGACTGGTGCTAATGTCACCCCCCCCAGATATTAAGGAGCACGTGAAGCAGATCGAGAAGGCCGTGTCGGGGAAGGAGCCTCGCTTCGTGCTCCGCGCTCTGCGGGCGCTGCCGTCCACCAGCCGCCGCCTCAACACCAACGTGCTCCACAAAGCCATCTGTGGCTTCTTCACCAACAACGCCACCACCCGAGACTTCCTGCTGGGCTTCCTGGAGGAGGTGAGCAGAGATGAGCTGCAGCTTTGAATTAATGACAAACAGGAAGTGAACCCTGACCTCTGAGAGCCGCATCATCAAACAGTAACCTGATTATTTATAACAAGGTGATCGATTCCTGATCAGATGGTGTGTGTGTGTGTGTGTGTCTGTGTGTGTGTGTGTCTGTGTGTGTGTGTGTCTGTGTGTGTCTGTGTGTGTGTGTCTCAGCCGATGGAGATGGCCGACGGAGACGTTCAGTTTCGTCCTCGCACGGGGAAGGCGGCGGCAGCTCCTCTGCTGCCAGAGGTGGAGGCGTACCTGCAGCTGCTGCTGGTGGTTCACCTGACCAACAACAAGAGATACACTGAGGTGACCCGCCCCTCACTCACCTGTGTGTGTGTGTGTGTGTGTGTGTGTGTGTGTGTGTGTGTGAGAGACCCGCCCCTCACTCACGTGTGTGTGTGTGTGTGTGTGTGTGTGTGTGTGTGAGTGAGTGTGAGAGACCCGCCCCTCACTCACCTGTGTGTGTGTGTGTGTGTGTGTGTGTGTGTGTGTGTGTGTGTGAGAGACCCGCCCCTCACTCACGTGTGTGTGTGTGTGTGAGTGAGTGTGAGAGACCCGCCCCTCACTCACGTGTGTGTGTGTGTGTGGTGAGTGTGAGAGACCCGCCCCTCACTCACCTGTGTGTGTGTGTGTGTGTGTGAGAGACCCGCCCCTCACTCACCTGTGTGTGTGTGTGTGTGTGTGTGTGTGTGTGTGTGTGTGTGTGAGAGACCCGCCCCTCACTCACCTGTGTGTGTGTGTGTGTGTGTGTGTGTGTGTGTGTGTGTGTGTGTGTGAGAGACCCGCCCCTCACTCACCTGTGTGTGTGTGTCCCGCATAGTCTCCGGGTTTTTCCACGAGCAGCTGCAGAGACCAGCCTCGGTAACCAGCCTCGCTAACCAGCAGCACAAACGCCTTTTGTGAGCCGGCGTGAACAGCTGAAGACGAAGGTCGAAGGACTCGAGCCGGGGGACTCTGTGCTCGCCGGTGACGCTCTGTTGTGTGCTGACGGTGACGTTTGTGTTTCAGGCGCAGAAAGTGTCGGACGACCTGCTGCAGAAGATCGTCTCCAAGAACCGCCGCGCTCTCGACCTGGTCGCCGCCAAGTGCTACTATTACCACGCCCGAGTGTACGAGTTCCAGAACCAGCTTGACATCATCCGCAGGTACGTACACACCTTTCTCCTTTCCTGATGACATCACACCCTCAGACAAGCAGTCACACGACTGTCCCCCCCCAGCTTCCTGCACACCCGCCTGCGCACGGCGACCCTGCGGCACGACGCCGACGGGCAGGCGGTGCTGCTGAACCTGCTGCTGAGGAACTACCTGCACTTCAACCTGTACGACCAGGCCGAGAAGCTCGTGTCCAAGTCCGTGTTCCCCGAGCTCGCCAACAACAACGAGTGGGCGCGGTACCTCTACTACACAGGTGAGCTCACAGCCGCGGCGCTCAGGCGAGTCCCCGCCATGACGCCGCGCTCACCCGCCTGTCATGTGACCCACACAGGTCGTATTAAAGCCATCCAGCTGGAGTACTCGGAGGCTCGCAGGACTCTGACCAACGCTCTGAGGAAGGCTCCACAGCACACCGCCGTGGGCTTCAAACAGACGGTACGCACGCACACACACACACGGTCAGGTATCGGTGTCTGGTATTGATCACTGAAGCATCGATCGGCTCCGGTTCAGGTCCACAAGCTGCTGATCGTGGTGGAGCTGCTGCTGGGAGAGATTCCCGACCGCCTGCAGTTCAGACAGCCGTCACTCAAACGCTCCCTGATGCCCTACTTCCTGCTCACACAGGGTCAGTGTCACACACACACACGCCTGATCATGTGACCCAGACCGTAGAGTTATGGCGAAACGATGGGTTCTGATTGGAGGAACAATGTTTGCTAACACAGTGGTGTACCTACCTTCAGATACTCGCAGCTTCCCATGAGCCTCTCTGTTCACTTCCTGTATCTGTGTGTGCAGCTGTGAGGACAGGTAACCTGGCCAAGTTTAACCAGGTGTTGGAGCAGTTTGGAGAGAAGTTTCAGGCCGACGGGACGTACACGCTCATCATCCGCCTCAGACACAACGTCATCAAGACCGGTGAGCCAATCGTACGCCGCCGTCACATAGCACGCTGCTCATCAGCCGCGCTCAGTGTGTTACTGATCTGTGTGTGTGTGCAGGTGTGCGTATGATCAGCCTCTCGTACTCTCGGATCTCCCTCGCCGACATCGCTCAGAAGCTGCAGCTCGACAGTCCCGAGGACGCCGAGTTCATCGTTGCCAAGGTAAACAGACGCGCTCAGCGCCGCCTTTTTAACGCCGACCTCGTGACCTCTGTGTGACCTCTGTGTGTTTGCGTCACAGGCGATCCGTGACGGCGTGATCGAGGCCAGCATCAACCACGAGAAAGGCTTCGTCCAGTCCAAGGAGACCATGGACATCTACGGGACCCGGGAGCCTCAGCTGGCGTTCCACCAGAGGATCTCCTTCTGCCTCGACATCCACAACATGTCGGTCAAGGTGAGCGCACCTGAACATACACACACCTCTCACACCCAAGGACTCAAGGTCAACACAAGAATGTGAAATCACAAAAGCTCCGCCCACAGACTGCTCTGCATCACCATAACGCTGCGAGCTCTGTCACTTCCTGTCAGCAGAGGTCTGACTGGAAGCCTTCTTGTCAAATCTGTGGAAGCAGCTTCTTCCTCCTGCTCCTCCTCCTCACATTAAAGCAGATTGAGGACGAGGAGGTGGAGGAGCAGGACCCGGGGATCCGCTCGGTTACACGACCTCAGGTTTAAGAGTCGATCACCCCGATGCTAATCTCCCTCTGTCCTCCTGCAGGCCATGAGGTTTCCTCCCAAAGCGTACAACAAGGACCTGGAGTCTGCAGAGGTAACACGCACGCGCGCACACACACACACACGCACGCACGCACGCACACAGCACGTGATGTCATGTCTTTAGTTGACCACATGGTGGCAGCGTGTGACTGTAGCTTACACAGAGACAAATCAGAATAAAATAATAAAGATGCACTTCCTGTCATCTGCATTCAATCTGTTTTTTCTGTGTGCGTGCGTGCGTGTGTGTGTGCGCGCGTGTGTGTGTGTGTGTGTGCGTGCGTGTGTGTGTGTGTGTGCGTGTGGTGCGTTCAGGAGCGTCGGGAACGCGAGCAGCAGGATCTGGAGTTTGCTAAAGAAATGGCTGAAGATGACGATGACAGCTTCCCATGAGCCTCTCTGTTCACTTCCTCTGTGTGTGTGTGTTTGCGTGTGTGTGTGTGCGCGCTGATGTTACCACGTCAGTTATTACCCAGAATCCCCCTCTGCTCTTGTTTTCTCCCATGGCAGCGTTGCTGCTGTTTGTTTCTCTCTGATAAATAAAGTTTTTTGTTTACACGCCTGTTTGTTTGTTGGTTTGTTTGTTCTCTGGGTGATGATGTCAGTGATGAGGTTTCCAGGTTGACAGTGAGGGCTGGTAGCAGATGAGAGATGAACAGCAGCAGTGCACGCAGCTCTCAGAGCACAGAGTAACTGTGATGAGCTGTCTACAGTAATGCTAATGTTAGCCATGTGCTAACAGTCTTTGGTGTCCGTGCGCTCCTACGGGAAGGGTTGTTGAAGCCAGGAGCCGTGACGAGGGAGGGCATTATGAAGCTGTGAGGCATAAATGATTAGAATAAATGAACAGGAGAAGTTAGCTGCTTTCCACATCTGTGCACAGCTGCCTTCCTGAACACCTGAGGCCCTCCTGATGGTCGCTGCATGTGCGAGAGTCAGCGCAGTAATCATGGGAATAAAAGTGATTCTGAAAAAGGAACGATGTGAAAGATACTGTAGAGGTCTGCACACTGACACAGAACAACAGCACAAATTGGAAAAATGAACTGATTCAGTCAAGGTCAAAGGTGAAAGTGTGCAGGCAGTCACATGACCTCAGATGTAAAGGATGGACAGACAGAGTCCATCTAATGTTCCAGTGAAGAAGTGAAGGTGGCTGACAATCTGCAGACTGGACAGGTGGACACTGATGAGAGTTGGAAACGTTTGTCCCGTCTCTGGTCCCCCACACCTTACATCGTTTTTTTTGACTCGAAACGTTAAAGTACTATAAATGTGTTACAGTGAGGTTTATATCTATCAGGTATGGGTGCTTTTGAAGCCAAATGCTGCAATTTTTCTGTAAAGCAAATTTACCTATGGGTATAAATAAAGTTACCTTACCAGTTGTTGATGCAGTGGTGTAAACCACACCACCACTGGACTCTAGAGCAGTGTCAGCGTGTTCGCCGGACTGACCAATCACGCTTCTCCATCTGGCGATGGACGAGCGAGTCTGGGTTTGGCGGTTGCCGGGACAACGGTACTTGTCTGACTGCGCTGTGTAAAGTTTGGTAGAGGGGGGGTTATGGTGTGGGGTGTTCTTCAGGAGTCTTCGTGCTTCAGCAGACCGAGACACTGCGGACACCTTCGTGTTCCCAGTATGTGGGACCAGTGTGGGGATGGCTCCTTCCTGTTCCCACATGACTGCACACCAGTGCACAAAGAAAAGTCCACAAGGACATGGACGAGCCGGTTTGGTGCGGGAGGACCGGCCTGCACAGAGTCCTGACCTCAGCCTGATCCAACACCTTTGGGACCAATCAGAGCGGAGACTGTGAGCCAGGCCTTCTCCTCCAACATCAGTGTGACCTCACACATGTGCTTCTGGAAGGATGATCAACCCTCCCCATGAACACTCCTGAACCTGAGGAAATCCTTCCAGGAGACGTCCAGCTGCACACGGTGGGCCGACATCATATTCCACCCTGTGGATCAACAGTGGGAGCTCACTGGAGTTCATGTGACCTTTGCACATGTCGGGCCAAGAATCAAGCAAACGTGATGTATTTATATAAACAGAAAAACAATTTGAGACAAAACAAGAATAAAAATAAGAAGTTAAAACACATCATGTGGCCCAGAACACAAATGCACTCAGAATTACATTCAGTGTAAAACAAAGTGTGCAGGACTTTATCTAAGAAACCTTTACAGAGAAGCGCCTGGACTGTATCATCCAGACAACAACAGGAGTCAAGAAACTGGAGCGAGTCCGGCCCTTTATTTTGAAGAGCTCAGCTTACCGTGACGGGACGACTGAGAGCCTGCACAGACATGCAGGACGTCAGCAGAGGTCACATGATGGTCGGGGCTGAGCTCGGTGCTTCAGAGGAACAGCCACGGATACGGATGTGTTCTCACCAAGAGGCAGAGGGTCTGACTCCTGCTCCAGTTTAAAGCAGGTGAGCTGCTGTTGTCATTGTCTCTGTTAACTGAACAGGTGAGCCCAGCGTCTGATGACTGAGTGCAGAAAACAAGCTTTTTCCTCTCTGCGGGTGAACATCGAGGCTTTGCTTTCAAACTTTTAATCTCTGCTCAACGTTTTTACTTTTCACTTTACAAACTGATCACAAAGTCACTTCACATGACCAGACTTCCTTCTTTGGCAATAAGAGTGCATGTAGCTTCCTGTTGAACTGGGTGGGGGCTGTTACTAAACCCTGCTGTTTGAGGGCTGAGCGGGCAGCTCTACCGTCCAGGACGGCCACGTCTGGCGATGCAGTGATGAAGCCCCGGTAACGGGTTGAATCCCTCCGGCCAAGGGCAGATCGAATGAACTCGAGAGCATGTCACAATGCTCCTCGCTGCTGATAGTTTTCACCTTTTGGGTGGCTCCATAATGTGCGTATGGTGTCTGTGATAATCGTCAGAGTCGCCTCAGATCAAAAACCTGATTCCTGCATATTTTCAACAGCTCGATTCACATGAAGAGGAAGTTGTTTCAGAGAAACGGGGCCTATCTGTGGTCACGTGATATCCTGGAGAACGATATGGGTCTTGGCACGGGCTTCATTCGGACAGGCCTCGCGGCTTCACTGTTAGACACAACATCATTAGTCACTTCCTGGCGGAATTCTGTGATGAACCCACAGTGTACACGGCCTCAGGAAACCCCCACTGGGCCCTGCCCACACTAGCTTTACCCATCCGGTGCCCATCAGTTTTTTGTGGTCCCCAAGGGCTAAACTGCTGTGGGCCTGTGTGGACACACCCACAGTGGCCCCACACAGCCATGTTTGGAGGCACGTTACTTAATATAAGGAAACAGCAGACAGGGAAATGTGATTACTGTGGAGAAGATGAAAGAATGTTTTATTCCACTGCCAGAAATATGAAGTTAAACTGGTTCTTACTGACACGCTGCAAAGAACTCAACAAGTGAAACAAACAGTCTGACAGCTCTGAGTTGGTCTCTGCGAGCAGAGCTACATACCGAACAGCACCAGCAGGAAACACATGTGGTACAGAGGCCCTCTGTGGCTCATGGGGTCTGCCCACAGTGCCCATGTTGGCCTCAGGAGGGCATCACTGGGCAGCATTAGTGTGATGGGCTCAGTATCACTCTGTGTCAGTGTGGTTTGTGTGAGCAGTCAGCTGGTCCATGTATATATATATACATACATAAATGGAAACAGGCTGTTTTACAGCTGATCAAAAGTTTAGGATAGAAAGTTCCAGACTTGAACTCAGTAATAAATTGGTCCGCTGTTCTTGTTGATCACTTCATGCAAGTGTTTCCATGAGGTGAGTGGGAACATTTCTCCAAGTGGTGAAGACGGCCACACGAAGGGCGTCTGCTGTCTGGAACTGTTGTCCTTTCTCAGTTGGATTTAGATCAGGGAAAGATGCACGATGGTCCAAAAGAGTGACGTTATTCTCCTGGAAGAAGTCCTTTGTCCTGTGGGCATTGGGTACTGTAGCGTTGTCCTGTTGAAAAACCCAGTCGTTACCACACAGGCAAGGGCCCTCAGTCATGAGGGATGCTCTCTGCAACATCTGGACATAGCCAGCAGCCGTTTGTCACCCCTGCACCTCCTGAAGCTTCATTGTTCCACTGAAGGAAAAAGCATCTCCCCAATCATTGTGGCGCCCCCTCGTCTGTAGGGCGAAGAAAACATCTCAGGTGGGATCTGCTTGTCATGCCGGTAAGGTTGGAAACCATCAGGACCATCAAGGTTGCATTTTTTTTACAGGAGAAACAAAAGGTTATATTTTTTTCTCATCAGAGAATTAGTTTTTGAAGTCCTTCAGTCTCAGATGCCATTTGATGGTTATGGGGGTGCGGTCGGCACCACTAATGGCCTTAATTTGGGTTGAGGATTTTTTAGGTTTCCACTTCATGTTTTTTTTCCATAACTCCCAGGACGACCGTCTTAACTGCATCCCACCTCAGCAGCGATGGTGCGCTGTGAGCGACCCTACTTATGCAGTTCAACAAGCCATGTTCAAAAAGGAAAGTGTTTTTGCTTTTGCCATCAGAACATCCTGACAGTCTGACAATGACAATGAATCCACAGTTTTGCACAGATTTGGCCTTTTAAAGGCATGTGGTCCTAAACATTTGATCAGCTGTAAAACAGCCCGTCCCAGTTTAAGTTTATGAAATGTAAGTTAAATGTTTTGTCTCACTGCCATTTCTGCTTGTTGCATGTTGTTGGAACCTTGTTAAGATCCAACCATGCAAAAGATGATTTTTTGCCATTTTTCAAGTGGTCTCAAACTTTTGATCGGGACTGTGTTTAACAATCGATTAGTTTCTTCTGAATGGATTAAGAATGCTTTTTTTTTCCACATTGCAATGCATCACAATTGTAAATCATTACACAATTAATTGTGTCAGCTCTATTAGATGTAAGATTGTATATTTGCTTTGGAAATGGGCAGTTTGCTTTATTGTGCTTTGTATTTGTTTTCAGACTGCAAGGAAAGAAGGCTAATGTACACCGAGCATCTGAGGAACACCACGCAAGTCCTCCAGCACATTGGATCCAAAAACCCGGTCCAGTTCCTCAGACACCATCAGAGACTGTTTTGAAAGCCCTCTACTATCAATCTGGATAAAAAGAAACTTTGCCAACCACTGCAAGTATCAATGTTTTAAATTTTGTTTGACTGTTTATTATGTACTTATTTGTTTTTGGTTGTATTAAGTTTGATATTAATTAGATCAGTGCCTTTTTAGTCATTAATTTGATTATTAAATATTAACTGTTTAGGGCAGCATGGTGGTTAGCACTGTCGCTGCACAGCAAGAAGGTCCTGAGTTGAATTCCACCATCTTTCTGTGTGGAGTTTGCATGTTCTCCCCGTGTTTGCGTGGGTTCTCCCCGGGTACTCCGGCTTCCTCCCACCGTCCAAAGACATGCAGTTAGTGGGGATAGGTTAATTGGATAATCCAAATTGCCCGTGAGTGTGAATGGTTGTCTGTCCCTGTGTGTTAGCCCTGTGACAGACTGGCGACTTCGCCCTATGAAAGCTGGGATAGGCTCCAGGAGACGGTAAACAAGCTTATTAAAATGTATTTTAACTGGTTTACTTTATATTAGTTTTTTATTTCAATGTAATAATTGTACAAAAACCAAAGTTCACTGTGAATTTTACATTTATCAACAAGTATACTGTTATGTATTCTGCATTATCTCTATATTTTCCACGGGGAAATTCTGGTAACTACAGCTGCCAGTATTTTACCGTAAATTCTACAATATTGTTTTTACAGTGTTGGACAACACCCGCCTCTCCAACACCACCCTAAGAGAGTCCAGCTTCTGATCAGTTTACTGAGTCTGTTGGCGTCTGCGACCCTCAACCCTCTGTCCCAGCATGCAACAGCACAGAGGATAGCACTGACCACAACAGACTCATAGACAATTCTGAGCATTGGTCGACAGATGTTGAAGGACCTCAGAGACTGTGGCCCTTCCTGTAGAGGGCAGTGGTGTTTTTAACCACGTCCGGTTTATTATCAGTGTGTACTCTGAGGTATTTACCGTACTCCACAACGTCCACATCAACCATGTCCACTGAAAACGAGTGACTCCTGCTGGGTGTGCTCCAGGGGTAAAAATGTGTGGAGTTTATCTAAACGCAGGAAGGAAAGCTTGAAGAAAGCACCGCTGTGCGTCCAGCACAGAGCCACAGCCTGCTGGGTGAAAGCAAAGAACAAATATAAAGAGTGTTCACAGCAGCAAACAGGCTGACTGACCTTTGACCCTCACTGCCCTCAGTCATTACTGTTTATATGATGATGATAATGATGGTGAAACGTTTCTCCCATGAAGGCGTCCTTTCCTGCTCTGTGATGGACAGAGAAACCTCCATGATGAGCACTGCTGCTGACGAGCTGCTGGAGGCCAGTTTCTCCAGGATAAAGATTTTGGACCACTATAGAGATCAGCTTACAGCCCTGTCTGAGGAGCTCAAGGAACTAAAGCCAAAATATAACAGGACAGGATGTGTTAAGTTTTTTTCAAGGAGATCATCTTCCCTATTGTCTTGTCCTGAAATCACTGAATCACTGGAGAAGTTGCAGAAGATAGAAGGTGAAATCAATGAAGCCCAGCAAAAAAACGAGGAACTGTTAGAGAAGCTGAAGATTTCTACAAACAGCTGTGAGCACGTCGTGGAAGAAATTCTGTCAGCAGCAGCAAAAAGACTTAAAGTCAAGAACCAAATTAACTTCAGCTCAGCATCAGCTCGAAAACTCATCCAAGAAATGTCTCGATGTGAGTTTCAGCACATCCTCGAAGGAAAAGTGGTGGTGAGGTTCTGTTATTTCATTTTTACATCATCATTAGTGAGATCTAAACACATACTAAAGGTTTAAAAACATATCATTCATGCTTTTATGGTTTATCACTGCAGCAGTTTTTCCCTTAACACTGACAAACTGATGAAGAACAGAAATGATTCTGTTGTAACCTGTTCTCTCTGACGGTCAGGTTGGATCTGTAGATGGTGGAAAGGAGTTGCCACTTCCTGAAGTCATTCAAATGTCGACAGAATTAATCCGGAAGAATCATGTGACCGAAGCTAGCGAATCACTGAGAGCTGCAGCTGACAAGATCAAAAAGTTCATCTGGGACCTTTTTCAGCAATTCAGCAACATTGAGTAAGTTTTTCTCTCTGTATATAAAATGACTCCACCACAGCTCTGACTTCCTGTAGGTGTTAAACAACCAATGAAATCTTCTTATGGCCTCTCACGTCGCGATGAGACACATAGTCAATAGTGCGCCAACAACCCTCTCTGGGACACGCCCCCCTCCCACTGGGGTTTACATACGTGGGACTCTCCACCATTTGGTCTTAAAACTGAAGAAGGTTCTCGGATGAAGCGTCTTCACAAACTCGAAGAAGTCCAGTCGGCTCCGGGAGTATCCTGTGTAACTGCGAGAGATCAGCTCAAAGGGAAACCCTTCTCCAAGAAAACAAGCTCGACTATGTCACAGGTGAACCTCCACCATGCACATGTGGCACATGTGGCAGGGATCCATGTTCATAAAGCCCAGCGACACTCGAACCACTTTCTGAACCTGCGAGGCTTCAGACGTCATCGATGACGACACATTAGGTGATCAGCTGTGAAAACACCTGGATCACTGCTGTCACTGCCTTTGTGTTGTGTTTGGAGTTAGTTTCTGGGTGCTGAGGTTTGGAAACTGTTCTCAAACTCTTCTCTGTGTGACCCCCCCCCCCCAAATCAACATATGACCCAGTTTAAAACCCTGATGCTCACTAACCATGAGTTACAACAGTAGATCAACCTAACGATGCCTGAATTGAACTCATATCCTTTAAAGAATTTGGCACGGTCACAGCAAATCTGCCAGGTTGGAGCACAGACTTACATCCATTGTTCTGAATTACTAAGTCCTCCATAAATAATCACCAAGGAAACTATAAACAACATCATGTCACAGTCAGGCAGGATTTCATTAGTAAATTTGCTGCATTCCAGCTGTTTTAGGTAAATCTGGTACGAGTCCTGTTTGTTGTTTGTTGTTTGTGGTGACGACTTACAGCTGAAATCACACTGACTCGACCTTCACTGGGTTCTTTTACAGAGACAAGGTGATCAAGCTACCTCAACAAGCAGGTGAAGAACAGTCTGCCTCCGAAACAAGGAGTGGTGGTGACAACAAGGAAGAAAGTAATCAACCAAGTGAGGAGAGTGGTGTTGATGACACAAAGAA